CTGAAGCATGGGAAAGACCCCGTGTATTTAATGAGTGATCATCACCTTATTTTACTTGAAATCAATAAATGAATAAAATTATATTTAGAAGCAATAATCGAATTATTCACATATCTCACAATCCAACTTTATTATTTGGTAACATACCGATAATGTAAAGTGATTTTCGGCACTGACGACGAATACTATAACATCAATTTCTTCCTGTCTCGCAAATACGGCCATCGTCTTCAGCGAATCAGAATTCAAACCAGGACAATCGATCAATGCAATATCCACAACACCATTATGTAATAAACTTTCATGAGAAAGTCGATTATCTCGACAATATATCTTCAAAAGAGCGTATTCTTCTGTATTATCCGACATGACTCTCTCTAAATGCTCAAATTCGATAACAGTATACGTGGTTGGATCGTTGACATTGTACGCTTTTTTATCTTTAACACCATGCACCGCTTCTCTTCCTCCATTCTCTCGAGCATCCAAGACTTCACAGAATAAAGTAGTGCAAGGTTGTTGATCAACTGGTAAAACACTTTTTCGGAGGAGAGCATTGACAAAGGTACTTTTCCCGGCATTTAGATCACCGGCGACCAATACTTTTGAACTTTTATCAGCTATTCGTGCGCTCAGATTTGCCAGATGATTTAAAGTTTTGCCGATTTGTACGTTAAGCAGCTCAGCAATCGAGTCTTTTTTGATGGCTGACATTTCAGCTGATTTCATATCTAATTTAAGCACGTTGATACTCAAATGAGTATCTTCAAGGTTAAGAAGTCGGTGTTGTATTTCTTGTTGAAAATTTGATATAACCTGTGGCCGTTTATCAGCGCCGGTAAGGCTATTGGTACGCTTATGAACACGTTGAGCAGGAGCTTTTCCAGGAAACGAATGGGTGCGCTCCAATCTACGGTTTGCATTTGCACAGGGATATTGAACAACAAAACGTTTATTGTTAGTTTCAAGGAGATTTTCCAAGACTGTTTTGGAACCAGTCACAAGACCCTGAACAGCTTGGCACTTTTCTGCATAGTCTTGTTGACCAGGCAAGTGTCCTGGGGAGTTACTTTTACCGGAAGAGGATGTAGTAGTAGTAGCAGCGGCAGAAGAAGAAAAGACTGTGGCATTACTGTCATAGTGGACTGATTCCTGATAATTCGTGTTTACAGAACCAGTACTTTTTGACATTTGACCATAGTCCTCAATTTGGTCCCTATCAACAAGTTTATCCGGTTGGGAGTTTCTTCTTTTGAGTTTAGAAGAGGAAGCGTATGATGAGGCCATTCTTTTCGTTCAGCTAACACCATATACCACCAGTAGCATATATTTGAGGTTTGTTTGGGGGAAAATAAATTTGCACGGTTTATCGCACAAGTTGATGATGATATCTCGATATCTAAGAACAACAATGTAGCTTAATATCTTGAAAAAAAAAACTGATCTCTGATTGGAAACATCATTCATCATGCCATCATCATCATCATACATAAAAAATTTTTTTCAATCTGCTTTCTCTTTCTAAGCAATAAGCAAACATGTCTGAACAGGTAAAAGTAGAGACGGAATAAGTTTATGATAGATGAATCGAACTAATCGAATGAAAAAAACCAAATTTTTCACAGATTGAAAAAGCTTTCCAAAAGCAACAGGGAATCTTTCAGAACCCTAAAGCGAACACCAAGAAGGCAAAGAAAAACCTTCGGTGGTATAAGGATATCGGTCTTGGGTATAAAACACCGAAAGAAGCCATCGAAGGACATTATATTGACAAAAAATGTCCGTGGACTGGGGAAGTTTCTATTCGTGGTCGTATTCTTTCTGGAGTTGTCGTCTCGACAAAAATGAAACGAACAATCATTGTTCGCCGTGAATATTTACACTTTGTTCCGAAATATCATCGTTATGAAAAACGTCACAAGAATTTAGCTGCACATTTGTCGCCCGCTTTTATCGGTGTGGAGGTCAGTTGATTATCTAGTTACTCAACTCGTGTAATTGATCAATTACTTGACTTATAATTATTTAAATTTATATATAGCCCGGAGACATAGTCACTGTGGGTCAATGCCGGTGAGTAATTTCATCGCTTTATTTGGTATTGCGAGTGTGCCGTCTCACGCATCGCTGTTTTTTAACAATAATGGATATGTCTGTGAGGTAGTTGGTAGGGTGACGGCCTACCAAGCCCCTTTATCCAATTGATTACTAACGAGTATTCTATCATGATAAATCAAAAATTTTTGATGATAACATTAAATAATGAAATTTAGCCCTCTGTCCAAAACCGTTCGTTTCAATGTTATCAAGCTACAAAAGAAAATTCAAAAGGGTTCGAAACAATTTGCTAAGTAAGTTTTTTCTAAGATTCTTGTTAATTTTTCTTGGATTTACAAACAAGCTGATCATTCAATTTTTTTCTAATAGATTTTGAAACAGTTATGATACAGTGCTAGTTTAAAAATCTATCAATGACTTTTTCTAGTAATTAAAAACAAATAAAAAAGTACGTAAATTAATAGTTTATAGTTTGCTTTATAAATTTACATAATTTTTGAGTCAGAAAGTTCTGGTTATGTTATCACTGTAGCATTATATTCCTTGGATTGACCAACGTTTATTAAATAGACTAAATGTTTGATGTGTATAATAAAAAAAAGCCATAATGATGACTGTGTGTATATTACGCGTAATATTAAACCTGGCTAATCTCAAATTAAATCACACTCCCACGCTTTTCGTATTATTAATTCAATTTCTATTATGCGTCTTTATTCTATCAGTTTGATTCTTTATTCTCAAGACACCAGATAAAGAATGATTATTTCCAAGCAACATCGACGACTTATCTACGAGTCTCTTTTCAAGGGTTTGGTTTACTTTTAATTCCGTATATAATTAAGGCAGCAACGAAGCGAAAGAGAATGCGAACTATTTTCCAACTTTTACTTTAGACGGCGTATTGGTTGCAAGGAAAGATTTCAACGCACCAAAGCATCAGAGTATTGATGTGCCAAATCTTGAAGTTATAAAGGCATGCCAAAGCCTTGCGTCCCGTGGATATGTAGAGACGCGATTCTCTTGGCAATACTATTATTTTACATTGACTAATGAAGGAATCGAATATATTCGTGAATATTTGCATTTTCCTTCGGAAATTGTGCCTTCGACATTTAAGAAAACTAGGTCACTGCCAGATCCTAAAAGAATTCGTGGAGGTTAGTAAATTTATTCATTTATTGATTTCAAGTAAAATAAGGTGATGATCACTCATTAAATACACGGGGTCTTTCCCATGCTTCAG